CTTCCTTTCAACTACCCCATTTTGCTGAGGAGTCCTAGGGGCAGAAAAATTATGATCTATTCCATTTTCATCACAAAATTTAGCAAACTTTGCATTTTCAAATTCAGTTCCATGATCAGACCTAATGGATGCAAGTTGATTTCCTAATTGTTTCTAGGTTTTTCTAATAAAAGCAGTGAACATTTCAAATGCTTCATCTTTAGATGCTTGGAACCTATCAATTCCGACCTTCGGATCTCAAGGCAGTAAGGCGAGAATCGAGCTCAACATTTGTAGTTGAGTGAATTCGGTTCTGATCCATGGCCCTCTTGAGCCTATCCTCCATATTGGCCCTCTTTCCCTCGATAGAATTGGCCTCCTCGATTTTGGAACTTAAGTCTGCCTCAAATCATTTATTTGCTCCTCGAAGGTAGACTCGCGCCCGGCAGCAGCAAGCACAACGTCGTGGAGCTTAACTCACTTAGCCTTATCCTCTTGAAGTTGCTCATGTAATTGACTAGCTTCTTGGCTGTGGGCTATTTTATCTTGCTCGCTCTGCTGCAACCGAGCCTCAAGCTCGCCATCTCAGCAGCTTTTGCCTCCTAACACCGGGAGGCACACAACAAGTTGGTTTCTTTCGGCCAACTCGGGAGCAAGCCCTTGCTTATCGAGGATCAGCCTCTGCAGGCCATCGGAAGCGAGAAAGTTGGCCAGTAAAAAAGAGTATCAAAGTTAGGATTTATATTGCAGTAGCTAAATGGAAAAGAAGTTATAAGAAAACAAGTACGGTACCGCTGCCGCCCTGTGCATGGCATTGTTTAACAAGCATTCTCCTGAAAAGGAGCGCATTTTCTTCCAATCATTTTCTGGAGCCAGCGACTTCAGATAGTTCGCAAGCTCTACCGGCTTGGACAACAGATGGCACTCCTTCGAAACCCGAAAGAGTAGTACTTCTCCTCCCTCGAGGATCTAGGAAAGGGGGTGAATAATTGCGCCCCAAATTCCCATGGTCAGGATACCGAGGAGAAGAAGCATCCCTTTCTCGAACATCTATTGTCGGTCGAGGAGATGCAGTTGGTGCTGGGGGCAAAGGTGCAGTTGGTGTTGAGGGGCGTAAAGTTGCTGGTGTGGAAGGATGAGAAGCAGCTACAGCAGGGACATTGCTAATTGTTGTTTGCTCGATGGTCGAAGGCAGACGAGGCCCAGGGTCCAAACTCTTTGGACCGGAGGTAGCAATGGGGATTGGAAAGCGAGAATAGGCATTATCCACCAAGTCCATCTCGCCCCAAAGTGCTTAGGTCTCTCCTCCGTACGGGTTTTAAAGCTCCCTCGGTCTGAGCATCCGGTTGAGCTGATGAATATCTTTTCCTCCTTTGAAGGGAAGCCTCTCCATCACTAGCTTCCCTTTCATCATCGAGGACCGCTGTGACAGTGGCCGGCTCGGTCGTTGTTTCCTTTATCTTCTTCCTTTGAGCCCCAGCTGAGGAAAAGCGTCGTATTTTTGGTTGCCTGTTCTCGGGCTGGGGACTCCAAGAAGAGGCGCCCTCACCGAAAGAAGATCTAAGGGCACTGCTTTGAGCAAGGACACTTTGCAGCACCCTCCTGGCCTCTTTGGGGTCAGCTAAAACGTCGACCTCGGGGCAGGTGACAGAGCCTTGCGGTAGTCCTGTATCAAACAAAAAGCGGAGTTAGAAACTTTTTTATGAAGTTACCTGTGTTCGTACAAAGATAAAAGGAAAAAGAACTCGGATTACCATGATTTTTGTCCTTCCACCCGTATTTGAGGGACATCTCCTTCCACCGACGGGATTCTGGTATTGTGATTTTCAGAATTTTCTGGTCCCACTAGTCCAGACCTTGAACTCGTGGTGGCTCCCATCGGGTAGCTGGAACAAAAGAAACAAGAAGATCATCAACAACGGAAAATAATCTTTTAACGAAGGAAGGAAATGAATCGAAAACTTACGAAAATGATTCTACGACTCAGGAAAAGACGGAGTTGTGGCTGGGATAATATCCTTGGTAGCGAAAATGATGAATCGCTCCATCCACCCGCGGTCATTGTCATCATCCACGCTGGTGAGAATAGCGTGGTGGCCGCATTTGCTGAAGTTTATTACTCTCACACAAAAAATTTTGGGAGAGTAAAGATTTATCATGTGTGTAAGGGTTAGGGTTTTCCCGGTCTCCGTGCATAGTTGGCAAAGGCAAGCCACTATTCACCATACCGATGGGCCTACTTGTGCTAGGGAAACCTAGCACCGGTAGCAAAACTCTAAAATAATGGGGCTGACCCCTTCATTCGACACCCGGGAGAATGGGCCTAAAGTAAAGGGATACGTATAGACATACGTAAAATCCTTCTTGGTAAAGGTAACCATTATGGATACTAGAAGGACGAATGGAGGAGGGATACCTACTAACAACCCAAGTCTGTGAAGACGCAGAAGGGGCCTTCTCTTGGAAGTCTTAGCAGTACTGAGGTATTTTGGTATGATGGTTCTTACAGCGGGAGGTTCAGAATCGACATCAGTTTCTTTGTCCTTGTTTCTCTTTAGGCCTCCACCGAAGAGGAGACCAGAGTTTCCAAAAGTGGCACTGAAAGAAGCCATGGTAATAATGGGTCAGAAAAAACTTTTGTTAAGTGTGTTGAAGAAGATGGAAAACTCTCTAAGCAAATGCAGAGTACGTACAGAGAAGAAGAAGGACTTACGAAAACAAAAAACTTCGAAAGTAAAGAAGTAAAGTAATGAGAAGAAGTAAGATATAGACGGCAAAAATCATGGTCATGATTACCTCGAAAACCGGCAAAAATATTTGTTGAATTGTGGGGAAACACGTGTTCGGGGTATTAAATGCGAGAAGACGTGCGTCATTTCAAGCGTCAGAAACTATTTAGGAAATTTCCTGCCAAGAAAAGGATCTTCACCAACTTCCCGGTAATATAAAGATACGTCACCAAAAAGCAGGTGGACTATCTGTATGGGGTAAAATTGGTTTATAATAAATGGTTAAATGATAACATGACACATGGAATCGAAGACAGGTAAAGGCGAGTCAAGTAACAACTAGTACCGGATATGACAACTGCAATCGATATCGGGTAAAACCCGAGGGGAGCGTGGTAAACGGGAGCAGACCGAGTATTTGTCATCGGATAACATTCGATGAGAGGATATTCTCTAATATTAAATGAGCAGCCGTTACAGAAAATTTTTGCATTAATGGTCTGCCATTACATATTCATCAATGACTCATTTATTATCATTTAAGTGGGGCTTGACCCTAGGATTTTGTTTTCCTAAGTATAACTATAAATAGCAGGCTTAGCAGCCATTATAAGACACAAAATTCTTGTCAAACACATGCTATATTTTACTTTTGCTCTCAATTAAATAAGTTTACTTGTTCTTATCATTGCCTTCACTTTTGTCCTCGGAGATATTGCGCTCGGAGCTAGGCTTGTCATCTTCTTCAATTTCAATTGCTAAATCTCGTTTTTAATCTTATTTCTTTATCATTTTTGGATCAAATCAGTTCGCTTGTCTATAAATCACGTAACAAATTTAATTGTACCTTTTTACGAGTAAACAAGCTTAAAAAACGACGAATGCAGCAGAAAGTAAATAAGGGGTAAAAAAGAACCCCAATTGAAAAGGGATTTGGGAATTGGGGGTATCCATTAGGAAGGGAGGCAGATTTTAAACTTTGTTAACAGCAGACTAATTTTGATCGGATAGTATAAAGGAGGTTAAATATAGACAATATTTGATAGCAGAAAGAAGAATTTGACCCTTTTCCCTTTATAATATACTAAACAAACTCAAAAGCTAGATTTTAGCTAATCAACAATGAAAAGACAAATCAAAACATAAACATTTTTGATAAATGGTTCACTGTTAAATTAATAATCATTGCTCTGAGTATTCCATAGAGTAAAAGGAAAACGAAGATGGTGAAAAATACAGCACTAGAATAAATATTAAAGATGAATGTCCAGAAATAAATTAAGATTGTATATGAACAAAGAAAACCAAGAACGATATAAGAAAAACGAAGTGTAGCAGTCACTAAAAAGAAACACAAAGAAAAAGACGAAGAAAAATAACATATACAAGTTACTAATGTTAACATGAAATCAAAAAGAAAATGTTGCTCAAGAACATTATATTATTGCTAAGGTTTGGCAATCCCCATGGTGTATTTCGACCATCATTATTGAAAATTATGGCTACTATTGTTGTTTTCCTTGACCAGCTTTTGATATCAATGGAGAGGAGAATATGCAAAGGGATCCTGTCACTACATGTTTCCAGTTTCATACATTTATTAGATCTTTATTTTGTAAGATTAACTTGGAGCAATTTATAAGCTCTAAGTTGATTTTGTTTTGGATTATTTCTGCAAGTTCTTATTTTTTTTTTTTAGATGATGTAAGAGACATGTTTTATTTGATTATTAATTAAAAAAGCCACTAGCTACTCTGCCTAGTGGGATACTAGCCTTACAAAAATCAGAAAAGAAAATTTGACGAATTTAATTCCGGAAAAAACAAATTAAATAATTCAGGATAAAACAAAAAGAAAGAGATTAACAGCCTGCTCAAAGGTAACGTAGTAAACGAGAAAAGATGACCAGAGTAGGACCCCAAAAATAATTAATAATAATAATAATAATAATAATAAAAGGTAAATACAGTCATAATACATTTTTTAAGTAGTTAACGAAGAACGCCTCTATTATCCTCCTTATTTCTGTACAATGTACATAAAATACCCAAGGTAGAGTAAGTGGAGTCACTTCACTCTTTCCAAATAAAGCACTAGCTTAGCCCTCCCAAAGGCATGCTTTTGATGTTAGTGTTACGTCGAAAGGTTAGCATATTGGGAGAATGGCACAATAAAATCATTTGGTGCCACTATTTAAATTTTGATTCCCGTAAGAAAAGTTTTGAAAAAATAATCTCCGGTCAGAATTTCGTATTGTGGGGTTAAAATTCTAGTAATCATCAAGATTCCCGGTGCTTCAAAATTCTAACCGACGTGCTTTAATTTAAATAGGAAGTACATTTGTTGAGATTACCAAATGAGGAATACTCAGATTATACATTAGAAATATTCAGAAATATGAAAACTTCACAAATGATCCAATTCTAGTAAACTTGAGCAGAACTTGGTGTAGAGTAGAGTTGAAGAAGGCTACCGAAAAGCTTCCCTCTAGCAACTGCGAGTGCGAATGCAGCTATTTTCTGTGCAGTTGCTTTCTGCTTCTTATCTTTATACAACTGCAATCAAGAAAGAGAATGTGAATCAGTGCACGGATTATTTACGAACTTAAGCTGTAAGTTATATCATATTTCAAGTTAAGAACAAAGATGATACTGGTTTTTGAAGGAAACTAACTAAATGGGATTGTTCCAATCACCAAATCATTAAGGAGGATATAGATTAGTCCTCTAATAAGAATTTTCAAATTAATATGACAAATCTACAACTTAGGTTGTACTAAACCAACCAGTTTAAATACAATACTGAATCACAAGTCTCCTCAAACTTTGGAACCAATATGAAAATTTTCAGGAAATCCTACTATGCCTTCATGTAGACTTTTTTTTAATAGGTAAGGCAAAATATTATTGATAAAACAGTACCAATGAGGTAGTACTGAAATGTTACAAAAAGCTGGACTCCATCAAACACTACGCAAAAACTGTATCTAGAGAGCCCATAAACACTATGCCTTAATGTAGACTTTGTAATCATCTTCCAAATATCAGTTCACAAGCAGTACTCAGAAGCTGTAAGATTCAATAGATAGACCCGTCACATCATCTTTCCACAACTGATGCGTCTCAATGCCAGATTACCATTATCGTAGTGTATTATATATCCTTTTTCTCTTTGTATTGGAAGTCAGAGCAAGCATCGAGTGCCAAAAGGTAAGTGATAAAGAAATGTTTGCTTGGAATCCTCACTTCACTTTCTCGTGCATGGATGCTCAACATCAAAGTTTTAGTCAGCGGAGGTGAATGCAGGGTGGAGAAAGGAAGAAGGAGAAAAGGAGTTGATTATAATGCAAGAGCAAATCAAACTGTTCCAGGCCATTCTAATCAGCTCAGATATCTTTGATATTGTTCGTTGAAGCAAAACCAAGGTCTACTTCCTAGACAAATGGAAAACCAAGGTAGCTAAATTACATCTATATCCTTGATTCTCTGTAAAATCACCTACTAGGACTTTGATTCAGCGGAGACGAGTTCAGAACAAGGCTCTCACCCAGATTGTTTCATATAGTCACAGGATTACTGTTATCAGTATACTATCTCAAGAAAGAAAACACAATCTCTTATGTTTTTCTGCTGCTAATGCAATTGTTTGAATTATGCTCACTGGAAGCAATTAACCCCTACAACAGCTAACCTATTAAGAATAGCATTGAGGGAAAAAATATCATGCTAAGAGAGCAAACAGGATGTCAATTTCCAATCTTTAACGGAATCATTGTTTGGAACAGGAAAGAACTGGCTTTTTTTCCCTATATCGAGTTTTCTGTTATTTTCTTACATGGTGGAAAAGTGCTCTACAAACGGTATTTAAGTATTTTAGAGCATTTGGAAAGTCCAAAAAGCGCAAGAGAGAGGCTATTGAATGGAACTATAGCAGTAGCTAGATGGAAAGTAAAGGTCTAGTATAAGATTGTATTCTCAAAGGTCTGGCAAAATGAATTTTTCTCCAGAAGGCATTCTACCGTCTAACATGTTCCCAACCCTATGATGTACTTGCGCAAAAATGAATGTGCCTACAAATCAATACTTACTCAGAGGTTAAACAAGGAAAAGCTATGATAATCAGAAGTGATAACAAGATTGCAAAAGGAATGTGCAGCCTTTAGCTTGTCAAAAATCCACTTCACCTTCTCTCAAGTATTTTAAAGAGAGTCCACAACAAAAATAACCATCGAGATTGTTGAAGTTAGAGCTCACATGTTGATTTAGTGTTTGGAAATTCAGGAAATAGTATAATCTCTTAATTATCAAATAAGAATGATTGCTAACCCAAGCCAGACAGATAATATGAATCTAGCAAATAATCAAGAAAGAAAAGAATACTCATTCTCTCATTCTAGTTTAAGAAAGTAAATTGATTGACTTTTGTTTTCAGATGCACTGCTTACATCTGTATGGTAATGTGATAGATATATAAGGATGAGCCTACTTAGCGTAAACTTTAAGACCTTAAGCGCTTTTATGAGACAACAGTCTTTAAAGTAGATATAAGTGCAAGAAGCTACTAGGGATATAATTAAGTGTTTGATTATCAAAGAAACACAGTGTTTAGAAAATCAGGAAATAGTATAATCTCTTAATCAGCATATAAAGCATAATTTTTAACCGATGGAAGCCAAACAATATGAATCTAGCAAATAATCAAGAAAGAAAAGAATACTCATTCTGTCATTCTAGTTTTAGAAAGTAAATATGTAGACTTTTGTTTTCAGATTGGAAAACCTTTACATGATGAGGAACTGTAGAAGAAATACACAGTTCAATCGAAGAGCCAACATAATCCATTTTTAAAAGACTAAAACTTAGAAAGTTATATTTACATTTAAAAGTGCATGACAATTGAGTCAACAATACTTATTAACATCATCAGCAGGAACCATCCCTTCTTCAATGTCTATTGATACTAGCTTCTAAAATGTCGTTTCGACGGCATCCTTCTGCACTGGCGGCAGTGGAAGTAGAGGCTGGAGCTCCTCTCCTTAAAGTCAAGTGGCTTTATGGTAGGAGAGTATGTTTTAAGTATGTAATGGCCTTAGGCGTCAAAGTGACATCAATATTTTTTTGGGGGGCTTGAAAAAGAGATGGACGCAATACAGTTTTAGGTCCTTGATTGATAGCTTAGCCAGCCACTTAATAGAATGACAATTTTCCTAACCTCTATGTGCTCATTTAAATTAATTATAACTTTCGAGAGGTCTTACTCTTTGCTCAAAAGTAAACCTTTTTCCCAAAAAAGAAAAGAAAAAAAAAACTTGGTATTAGAAAAATATTAGACAAATTTTGTTGAAGCTTCTACCTTTTACATAATACAGCAAATAAATCTCACTCTTGATTTATATAAGCAATAATTATGCAGTCAGAGAAACAGAACACTGGGTGTGGAATGTGAAGCAAACCAAAAGTAATTATGCACCGTCCTCGTGATAACCAGTTACCAGTTTCTCAACCGACCATTTTACTCCTGACACACCACTGTAGACGGAGAGGGAGTAAGGGACAAGTTGTCGATACCAATTTAATGAAGGGACATGAGTGGAATTTTGATGAATATCGAATTACGAATGGCTTAAAGTGGACAAACTACCAAATCCTTACGAATGGCTGTGCAGCAACCCACAAAACAGAACAGAATTACCAATGGTTTAAAGTGGACAAACTACCAAATCCAAATAACATCGTTGCTCGAGCTTCCAACTCTCACTTATATATAGGAAATAATTAGTCTATTAGATAACATGCTAGTTAGTTTTCAACCTGAAATTGTCTTAATAAAAAAATGCCTCTCCAAGTCGCTGATTGATCATTACTTTATGTTAAAAAGAGCTACTCTGTCCCTCCCAATTTATGTGGCAAAGTTTAATTGGACAGATAAAAAGGACAGTGTGCCTAAGGAATTAGGGCATCAGGGATCTACAAGCACACAACAAGCTATGCTCTTAAAATGGCTATGGAGATGTGGACAGGAGGAATCTAGGCTATGGAAGGATATCATAGTTGCTAAATATGGAGCACACAACCACTGGTGTTCCAAGAAAGCAAACACTCCTTATGGAGTTGGTCTTTGGAAGAACATCAGCAACCACTGGGATGAATTTTTCTAAAATGTAACTTTCAAAGTTGGGAATAGAACTCGCATTAAGTTTTGAAAGGATAGATGGCTCGGAAATACACCTTTCAAAGACATGTTTCCCAGTATGTATCAGATTGCTTTGAACATAGACTCCACTGTTGATCAAAATAGAGACAATGGCACTTGGTGCCCACTTTTCAGAAGAAAATTGCAGGATTGGGAGGTCAACAGCCTACTCACAATGTTAAGCTCCCTAGAAGGTCATAACACCGATGATCAACAGCCTGACAAACATATTTGGGGAAATTCTAAGAGAGGCAAGTACATTCAAAGAAGGATACATTCACCTTTGTGACCAGAATCCAATGATAGATAAGTAGCCATGGAAACACATTTGGAGAACTAAAGTGCTTACCAAGGTGACTTGCTTCACATGGTTGTCTCTAAATGGGGCCTGTCTCACTCAAGACAACTTAATCAAGCAGAACATCACACTAGTTAATAGATGCTACATGGAAAGTGTAAACCACCTATTTCTCCACTGCTCAGTTGCAAAAGAAATTTGGAACTTCTTCTACACTACCTTTGGTCTGAAATGGGTTATGCCACAATCAACAAAGCAAGCTTTTGAAAGTTGGTATTTTTGGAGAGTTGACAAATCCATCAGAAAAATCTGGAAAATGGTGCCAGCTGCAATTTTTTGGTGTATTTGGAAAGAAAGGACCGAAGATGTTTTGATGGCATTTCAACTCCACTCTACTCCCTCAAGGCTGCGTGTTTAGTAAGTTATTTAGCTGGAACTATCTCACCCCTGTTAATAGTGCTGATACTTTTGTGGATTTCACTAGCTCCTTGATAGTAGCATAGGCTTTTGTAAATGGAGCTAATTATTCTATCTCTTTTGTACTTTTTGCATCTTCTTGATGCCCTTTAATGAACCTAATTTACTTCATAAAAAAAAAAAGTGTGCCACATAAAATGGGACAATGAAAGTACTATTTTCTTCACTACTTGAACCAAAGGGAATTCTTCTTTTACCAACTTATTTCTACATCTTGGAACTCTTAAATTTGTGGACCCCAGGTGGGATCAAGGGCGGGTCTAAGGTAAGGCAGATAAAGCCCTTGCCTTAAGCCCCCCAAATAGTAAGGGCCCCAAAATTACAAAATACTATATTAGTATTACATATAATACAAAATTTATACAAATATTATTAATAAAAAAATTCAAATTTTTACATTTTCAAAATTTTGATTGAGGTTGCTATTGAGTGAGTAAATAACGATAAATTTTTTCTCGCATTAAAAAATTAGTATATTTACCTTCTCATCAATTCTAATTCTTCTTCCTCTTTGTATACTCTTTCTTCTCTTCATGTTTTTGATGATTTTACTCTCTAATTTCAACTCGGATTCTCTAAATTAGCTAG